AAGAAGAATGAAGTCCTTGACAACTTCAATCTTTTCTCCATTGATAAGAATGTTGTTTATTGGTCCAGTGGTGAGGATTTTTGTTTTCTTGACGTTGAGATGTAATCCATATCGAAGGCTGTGCTCTTTGATCTTCATAAGTCTAGCCTCTAGCCAATGAATAATTTTCCCTACTCTGTCCATAACCATCACTACAGATTGTTTCTTTTATCAAGAAAACATTAAAAAAAAAAAACTTTTTTAAACATTAGTCTCATACAAGGTTTGTCTTTTTGTGATTGACTATTTTCACTCATCATAAAGTTCTCCAAGTTCAACCATATTGTGAGGTGTTTCTAGATTCATCATTATTCAGTATTTTGTAATATTCCATTGTATGTATGGACCAAAGTTTGTTTAACTACTTCTGTTGATGGTTATTTAGATGGTCTGCATCTTTTTGATATATCTCTTATAGAGAGTATATTGAAGGATCCTGTTTTCTTATCCATTCTGCTCTTTATATGTCTCTTGACTGGTACATTTAATCCATTTACATTCAGTGTAATTATCAGTAAGTATTAATTGATTATTTTCATTTTTCTGTGTGGCTTTTTTTTTATGTGTGTGGTGCTGCTGGATTCTTTGTTCTATAGTTTTCTGTGCTGAGTTCATTTTATTTGTGGGTTTTCTTTTCATTTTCATTTCTGTTGTGTTAATGTTTACTAAATCTTTCTGATTTTCCTCTTTTTTAAAACTTTGATGTGCAGGTGCATTATTCTTTGAGTTTACCCTATAATTTATTAATTTTTTTCCCTGCTTAAAAGTATGTTTTTTTTTTACCTTGAAATCTACTTGAATTCTTTGCCATTTGGAAGTTCTATATCTACATTATTCTCTTTTTTTGGCTTTATAGTTGACTTCATTATACATTTATATCTCTGGTTCCCTATTTTCAGTCTGTAGGTTTGTTTTACTTTGAATACTTATACATCTGAGTTGAGTTCTGGATGGTATTGTTATGTATGTTAATCTCAAATTGTTTGCTGTTGTTAGTTCTCAGTCCAAAGAATACTCTTTAGCATTTTTTGTAAAGTTGGTCGGGTCATTACAAATTCCCTTGAATTTCAATTTGTCAGGAAATGTCCTAATGTCCTCACCATACTTGAGGCACAGCTTTGTTGGATATATGATTCTTGGCAGGCAGTTTTGTTCTTTCAGAGCTTTATATATGTCATTCCATTGCTTTCTTGCCTGCATGGTTTCTGCTTAAAAATTAGAGCTTAGTCTTATTGGCTCTCCTTTTTTTTTTTAAAAAAAATGTTTATTGTGAATTATGTGATCATTTACATGGGACAACATTAGCTTTACATTCTTCCTATCATACATCCTTTCATTGCCATGGTTACAATCCCCTCCTTGCATCATCATCAACCAACCAAACCTACCCCTCTAATCTTTCTTCTGTAATTCAGAGTGCCAGAATTTTCATCTGTGTCTGTTTTATTTGATCTCTCATATTTTTGTTATAGAGGATCTGTGTAGTGCATCTGCCTAGTCCGCCATCTTGTGGAAGTCAAGGTAATTCATTTTTATAATGACACTCCTTCTACTAGCTTATGAGTCCTGAGAGCAGGAGTCAGATCTTATTCCCCTGTGTACCCAGGCCTATCATGGTATTGGACACATAGCAAGTACTCAGCAAATACTCACTGATTATCTCAGGACAGGCCTCACTCCCTAAAAGGGAAATAGTACCACCCTCTGAGATTTTAACTAGTAATATCTATCCACATCCAGTATATGTGGCTAGCTTTCTGCATTTGTAAACTTCCTATTGCCATATAAAGTTGCTTCTGTCTCATAGTGACCCTATGGAGTTGAAGTACTCTATAAGATTTCCAAGGCTGTAGTCTTTGTGGAAGCAGACTGCCACAACTTTTCCTGTACAACAGCTGGTGAGTTCAATTGCCACCATTTCCATTATCAGTCAAGAACTTAAGGACTGTGTCACCAGGGTTCCTTAGAAGTAAATTGCTGTTGTTGTTAACTGCTGTTGAGTTGGTCCCAACTCATAGTGACCCAATATAGGGTTTCCAAGAAGCAGCTGGTGAGCTTGAACCAGCACCCTTGTGGTTCAAACCGACCTTGAAGTCCAGCACATTAATCCATAGTACCACTCCAAGACTCCAGAAGTAAATCAGGAGAGCTAAAAAGAAAAATTTAGATATGGCACAAAGACCATTCGAGACATTCTGGTATATTGTTATTAGCATAGGCCTGGAATGTGAGGCATTTAGATAGTTTATTTAGTACCTGTCTAGAAAAAGAATAGAAAAGTAACCTTAGCCAGAGCAAAGGAAAAGGAAACATCCAGGAGAGAGTCGATAGCAGTACCAGTTCAAGCACCATACAATAAAAAGTTGTGGCTAAGCCCTTTAGCTATATTAGTAGCCCTGGTGGCATTGGGTTCATGCCAACTTCCCCCAGCCTGCTGCTCCATGGAAGAAAGATGAGGCTGTCTGCTCCCATAAAGATCCACAGTCTTGGGAGCCCTAAGAAGCAGTTCTACTCTGTCCTACAGGTCGCTGTGAGTTGGAATCAACTGGATGGTAGTGGGTTTTAGCAAAATGATCTTACACCAGGGGTTATCCTAGACCTACATTATCACTATGTTCTGTAGTGTTCAGTCCACTGACTGTGTTTCATCTCATGACATGGCAACCATACTTCAGAATTCATATTACAGACTGGAAAATAACATAATTAAGAAGAGGGGAAAAAGAGTCCCTATATCATGCTACCTTCACTGAGAGATCCTATCTAAGAAACATAAATTCTGGGACAATCAAGTAACAAGTCTCCCTTTGTGGCTTGCCTAGAATAATTAATTACAATTTTACAAGCATATATTATACATCTCATTTCTTAGGTATTAGGAAAAATAAACAAAACTCAACAAGATGTTGGGCTACATCAAGTCATTTTGCTCTTTTGGAGTTAGAACATCTAAATTCTAGAAACATAGTTAATTAGTACTCATCCAGATACCAAACCTTCTAGTAAATAATTTGAAGCATGTTTATGCTTTCTTTTCCTACTCAATTCAGCCCAGGCCTCAACACTACCACGCCACCTCCTTTTCTGCCAGCAACTTTAACTCCTTTCTTCTTTGCCTTTCATCTCATTAAACTTGCTAGTCCATAAACATAGAGCAATCTAATGGTCTGCATTCTTATTCCTATGTTCTAGCTACAGAGTGTGCCTAGGAAAACAAAATTGTCCACAATTGTTTTGAATTATGGTATGATAAGTTTATGATTTGCCGCTTTTGTTGGTCTTCAACATTACTGGGCAATCTTTTTTCTGCTTCAGCAATTCTGAGCTTTTACTCTTCAATCATTTACCCATTTTCTATCTCCTTATGCCTAGAAGATGGCCTTGCCCAGACACAATTGAGGTTGGCTCAGGTTTTGCTTTCTTACCTACAAACTTTGCTACATTTATACCAATCTTTACTTTCCTTGTAGGAAGAGATACCTCCATCTCCTATCCGAAGCTCTGCTACAGTAGCCATCACTTTGGAGTAAGCCCCTCCTTTATGGCTCTGTGCCTGCCTCTAGGTGGTGACCTCCTTGATATCCCACATCATATCTTCTCCAGGAAAGCATCCAGCACATAGTAAAAATGATATCGCCTTTAGCTTCCACTTAAAATTGGAGGCCCCTGGAGTGGTCTCGCCCAGAAGGATGCGTACACATACCAGTTTTTTTTTTTTTTTTTTTTTCTTTTTTAACATTTTATTGTGAATTGAGTGAAGGTTTACAGAGCAGATCATCAGTTTTACATTCAACAAATCATACACCTTGGTTCATTTCAATGACTGCAATTCCTTCCATGTAACGTCACTTGCCTTTCCCATGTCTTCCTGTGATTCTTGTTTCCATTCTTCCTTTTTTTCCATCCCTTCTGAATTTTGTCCTTAGGTAAATGCTTCCCTTTTGATTTTGAATGATTGAAAATTCTGAGGTATACATACCTCACTTGTATTGTTGTCCCCTCTGTACTTGTATCTACTGCTTGGCTGAAATTGAACCATGAGGGTGAGTTCCATTCCAGACCTGAAGGGTAACCAAAGACCATGGTCTTGGATTCTTCCAATCTCTCTCTGATCAATAAGCCTGATCTTTTTTTTTTTTTTATAACTTTGAGTTTTGTTCCACATTTTCTCCCATTCTATTCAGGACCTTCAAATAGGATCTCTTTCAGAGCCATTGGTAGTGGTAGCCAGGCATAATCTAAATCTTCTGGTCTCAGGTCATGGAGACTGATACTCATGTTTTCCACTAGTCCACTGAATTAATTGTTTCCAAGAATTTTCAAATGTCATCACTCTTTCCTTCACATAGGGAGAGACCAATAGTTTCATCTTCAATGACTACTCATGAACTTTTAAGATCCCAGTCACTACTCAACAAAGTAGGTTGTAGAACACTGACTTTGTGGACTACGCTATGCCAATTGGCTACGATGTCCCTTGAGACTACGGTCCTGAGGCCCCAGGTCCAGAAACTTATTCTCTCAAGGTGATTGGTAATGTCTAAGAAGTTTTCATAATTTTGCCCCTGTATGCTCTACCATGTTCACAGATACGTTTGCAGCAAAGGTAATTATCAATGTACAAATATCCTCTGTCAGACTAGTATGTATTTGTGGGTAATCTCTTACTCTCTTTCCCATACCCGTGCAGCCTGTGTATCCATGTATCTACCCATAGATCACTGTTATTGAAGAACTGTGTACATACATACCAGTTCTTGTGACTCCTTCAAGCTCAGTGCTCCTACATGAATCACGACCTGATCCAGTCTGCAAGAGAAAAAACACTGTTACAATCTGGAAGTTTACTAGTAACACAGAAGGGAGGAGCGAGGTTTTTTTCAGAGTAAGCATTATTCTGGTTTGTAATGGTTTTAGCAGTTAGCTAACACCTTATTATGAAGAAAGGCCTGGTGATCTATCTGAATAGTCTCGTAGATCACAACAGTAATATCTGCAGTATCTCATGGGGGATATATAGAGGGCTGGGCAGCATTTTGTTCCTTTGTGTAAGGAGTCGCCAGAAGTTGGGGGTCAATTTGGTGACAGCTAACAAAAACAATGCCTTATTAGCCTCAAGACTACTGAATTCTGCAGTGGCCTATTTAAAATTAAAAGGATTTATGGGGTTCATTTTCATATAGACCACCAATATCAAAGTCTAGCAAGAAATCAAACAACGTATTGCATTAGGCAAATCTGCTGCACAAGAACTTTTTAAAGTGTTGAAGAGCAAAGATGTCAGCTTGAGGACTAAGGTGCGCCTGACCCAAGCCATGGTATTTTCAATAACCTCGTATGCATGCGAAAGCTGGACAGTGAATAAGGAAGACCATAGAAGAATTGATGCATTTGAGTTATGGTGTTGGAGGAGAACATTGAAAGTGCCATGGGCTGCCAAAAGAACAATAGATCCGTTTTGGAAGAAGTGCAGTCAGAGTGCTCCCTGGAGGCCAAGATGGCCAAATTTCGTCTCTCCTACTTGGCACATAATGTCGGGAGGGACCAGTCGCTGGAGAAGGATAACATGTTTGGTAAGGTGGAGGGTCAGAGAAAAAGAGGAAGACCCCCCAGTGAGATGGACTGGCAAAGTGGCAGCATTGATGGACTCAGTGTGGCAACAGTAGTGAGGCTGGTCCAGGATCGGGCAGTATTTCATTCTGCTGTGCTTAAGGTCACTATGGGTTGGTACTGACTTGATGGCACCTAACAACAACAACAACAACATGGGGTTTTATTTTCATATAAACCACCAATATCAAAGTCTAGTTATATTGCTGAGGAGGTGTAATCTGAAAATACTTAGGATGATGTCATGGTAGGGAAGAATCAATGCTATAGAAACACTTTAAAGGCAAAGTTCAAATTATACTCTTAGTGGGGAGTCACTCCTGCAATAGTTTAGTTTAGAGGCTCTGGGGAAACAGTATGATTATACAGTATTGTAGAGTTTTCATGTTATCAACAGTAAAAATACATGCTGAAAGCTGTTGAACATGTACAGAAACGAGATCAGTCTCTCTGAAAGTTAGAGGCCAAAAACCCAGAGACAATTTAGTCCAAGCCTATTATCTTACAGAGGAGGAAACTGGGGCCCATAAAGATTAATATGAGAAGGCAAGAAAAAGTTTCTGGAAAAATTCAGTTATCTTTTATTTCCATTTTTTTTGAAGCTCCCTTGCTTGCATAAATGTAGGTCTATGGTATGATGTTGTTGTTGTTATTGTTAAGTGCTGTGGAGTTGATTCTGACTCACAGCGACTCTGCACAGGGTTTCCAAGGAGCATTTGGTGAGTTTGAATCAGTGACCTTTCAGTTCAAACTGACCTTGCATTCCAGTACTTATCCTACAGCACCACACCACGGTTCTGATGTTGCTGTTGTTTTGTGCCATGGAGTCGGTTCCGATTCATAGTGACCCTGTACAGGGTTTCCGAGGCTGTAAATCTTTATGGGAGCAGAAAGCCTCATCTTTCTCCCGCAGAACAGCTGGTAGTTTTGAACTGCTGACCTTGTGGTTCACAGCTCGATTCGTAACCACTATGCTACCAGAGCTCCTTAGGGTTCTGATAAGAGCTATAAAATTCAAAATTAAAACTAACTGGAATAAATGACTTAATTTAATAATGTTTACAATCCATAGTTTGTGTCAGACATTACGTATTATTTTTGTAAGTAAGTGGCACTGTATATGTTTATATAATATTTATATAACATCTATTGATTTAAGTGGTGAAATATATACTGAGAAAGTCAAGATGCCAATGGTAAACGGAGCACTAAAAAAAATATCTGATTGGGAAGTGCCAGGTAGCTTTTAAGATATTATACTCTCTGAAAAATATGGAACAGAATTGCAATTCTTATGGCATCCCGACTTTCTGGAGCCATTGAGATTGAACAAACCCCTGAAACTACTGCTCTGAAATGATCTTTAGCCTGGAAGCCTAAACCATAAATACTTCCTGAAGCCTTCTTTACGCTGGCTTAGCTAGTAAAGAATGTCTGCTTTATTTATTAAAAAATAAATACAAAAAAAAAAACTGTGCTTTTTATTTATTAAAAAAATTTTTTTTGTGTGTGTGAATTGAGTGAGGGTTTACAAAACAGATCATTAGTCCCACATTCAATTGTACTGTCATTTTTAAAAAGAACTTTCTATATGCTGTTGACAACAGCAACTCAAAAGATTATATGCCAAACTCCTGGAGAGGTGAGATTGGTCAATAAGGGAGGAACAGTTCAGAAAACGAGGGTGAGAACAGATTGCACAATCTGAAGAATGTATCACTGTCACTGAAATGTACATGTACAGACTGTTGAACCGGTCTGTGTTTCGCTGTGTATATTTTTAACAACAACAAAAGATCTTATCTGCTTGAGTTAGACAGTCCTGGGCTTGAATTTTGACTGTTCCTAACCAGCTATGAACTTCTCAGTAAAACACTTAAATAATAGTATCTCCTCATACAGTTGTTAAAAAGGTTATATGAGTTCATATATGCAAACCACAGCATGGTCCATGACACACAATAAATGGTCACTGAATACTAGCAGTTATTATTGCTAAGCCTTTAGACTAAAACTTTGGGAAATTGTAAAAATCGGGACAATAGTAAAGACAGGATCTGTTAGAGTTTTTTTTAAAAAAATAATGTCCAGAGACTATAATTTAAGATTCAACCAACTGAATTTCAAAATCAATATCTGATTAATCCACACTTGAGTACTCATTACTCATTTTGCCGAAGCATCATTATAGATTGTGTCGGTGATGGTGACGTGTACATAAAGACCAAGATTTCTTTCTGGTTGGAGAGAGAAATAAAGAGAATCCTTGGAAAGTACAACCAGGAACCAACTGTCTGAGAAATTAATTTATTATAAAAAGCTATTTTTTATCTTGTGAACTCTCAGAATTTGGCCAAAAGGGTGGTTGGTTTTGAGACTTCAGTGTGCATCTTTGGAGGTATCCTATGTGGCCTGGAGGGAGAGGTCATAGCAAGCACTGTTCTTCCTAGTGGAATGAGGAATAGGGCTCAGCTGTAAATCTAGGCACCCTAGTAAGTCTTCTGAGGAACTGTGGGTAGCATATATGCCATCCTTATGGGATGGAGACACCACATTCCCACTCAGACCCAAGCATTCAATGAGTTCTCCATGGATTCTTGCTTTCCCATGTCTTAGGTTAAATGAGACTTTAGATGAGATGAAGCACAGAGTAGTTAAGTGATTTACCTGTGGTCACCAAGCTAGTAAGAGGCAGAATAAGGTCTCACTCACACTATGGCAGTCTGGCCTCACTAACCCAAACCAAGCTCATTTCTTGTGAGTCATAATGGCCCTATAGGATGGAGTAGAACTGCCCCCAAAGGATTGCCAAGGCTGCTACATCTTTTCTCCTGCAGAGAGGGGCTGGTGGGTTCAAATTCCTAACCTTTAGCAGCTAGGCCATTTTACCAACACACCACCAGTGCTAATCTGGGCTCATAGTCCTTTTTAACCATACTAAGTTGGATTTGAAAGAAAAATTACCTGAAAGCTGATGGAACACCCAAAAATGCTGTGGACATGCACTCAAACTTGGTACATAATCTCAGAGTATTTAAGGATGCTTCAAAGCCATTAAAAGACTCCTAAGGAGCTCTGGTAGCATAGTGGTTATGAATCTGGCTGCGAACCTCAAGGTCAGCAGTTTGAAACTACCAGCTGTTCCTCAGGAGAAAGATGAGGCTTTCTGCTCCCGTAAAGATTTACAGCCTCCAAAACCCTGAACAGGGTCACATGGCACATAACAACAACAACAACAACAACAACAACCAAGGTGTTCATGGGGCTCACACTGATGACCCCTGCTCCAGGTTCATTTTGGACTTAGCGCCACCAAAAGTAACCTCAACCATTCCCTTCTTTGGTCCCTATTATACCATTTATCAGAGGGACAGAGTTTGACCTCCCCATTGAACTGTCAGCAACGCGAGGGCTTTATCCTCCCTTGTATTCTCAGTGCCCAGCACAGTGCATAAAACACAACAACATAACAGGCAATGAATACAATATGGCTAATTCCATGGTCATACTGAATGTGCTCATGGAATGAGCACCGTCCTGCTTATTTTATCCTGGCACGAATTGTTTCAGCAAAAATACATCAGTACACAGAAGTTTAGAAAAGGCACTAAGCCCCTCAATACCACAAGAGGGAATACCATACAAGCATGCTGAATCACAGGCACAGAGAGAACTTGTAAGGAAAGCAAGAGCCTACTATAAGCATCAGACAGCCATCTTGAGATGGGAGTTGTTGGGATTAATCTCCAGGAGATGCAGAGTGTGAGATGGTCAGCAGAAAAGCCAGAGCTACAGCAGATTGAGTCATTGGCATCAGGCAGGCTTCCCTTCATCTCTTCTCTTCTTATCCCTCCAGCCTAAGAACAAGTAACCCAAGAGGAGAGACCTTGTAGATGGGTAAGAGGCAGTTTTCTAGAGAGAACTTGGACGCCAGGTGGGCCTTGCGGTTTGGCTGTTCCTCTTCACAGGGGAGGAAGGTGCTCCTCTACCTCAGCTTCTCACAGAAGTGCCAGGATTCTCTCACCCCTCGAACCATCCCTACCCCGTAACGGGTCATGGTCATTTCCCCATACACTGCCCTCTATCAACCCTGGTCTCTGACCAGAAGCAGGGAGGCTGTGTCATTGGAGAAAGCCTCACTCAACACAGAGCTTACTAGTGGGTGGTTTTATCCTGATTGAGAAACTCACTTGTTCTTCCCTTTTGTCACCCACTCTTCTGCAACCCGGCGACGCTCTTCAATGCTCAGGGACAGGCCTTCTCCCGTTGTGCCATTTACTGCCCAAACAAAAAGTCAGTCAGTGGGACCAATCAATACCTTTTGCCCTCTTCAATGACAACTCTGGAAGTGCAGAGAAGGGACACAAGAAACACCAGAGGCTATGTTAATGTTAACTTTTATCCAAATGGGTTGATAAGTGGAAGTTAAGCATAAGGGCACTGTGCATAATGGTGATAATGGGAAACCAGTGATCATTAGAGATTTCCCTGCCCTCTGTGGTCAGGGAAACAGCTACACCACAGTCCTGGTGTGGCGCTGTGGTGTGGGTTAATGCACTGGAATGCAAAGTCGGTTTGAACTACAAGGGCGGTGGTTCAAACTTACCAGCTGTTCCTTGGAAACCCTATACAGGGTTGCTATGAGTCAGAACCGTCTGGATAGCACTTAACAACAACAACCTATATGACTCAGATCAGACTCGCGATGACTCCCGTTCACCTATGACAAGGCCAGACACAATCCTCCAAATTCCCCTTTCTTCCATATAACTAAAGGAGCTCTGGTAGTGTAGTGGTACAAGTCGGGCTGCTAACCTCAAGGTCAACCTCAAGGTCAGCAGTTTGAAACTACCTGTTGTTCCGTGGGAGAAAGATGAGACTATTTGCTCCTGTAAAGATTTACAGCCTCGGAAACCCTATGCAGGGTCTCTATGAGTTGGAACCGACTCCACCGCACACCACCACCACATAAATAAGTAAATTGTCTGTTCCCACTGATTCATCAGAAACAAAGTGCTTGCTAACCAAACTTCTGTTAAGTTTCTCTCTTCCCCCAAGTTCCTAAATTCTGACCCACCTTCAGCTTGGGCCAATATACTCCCAGAGAACAAGCTGACCTCAGTGTGAAACATCCTGGTTTACTGTGTGGGGATGTCAGCTGTTTATTTTATGACCTGGGTTGCTTCCATTCTTATTTTCTCTCATCTCTCTAAAAGAAAAAACGTTTTTCCCCCAACTCTTTGAGACGCTTGCAGATCCTATGATCTGTGTGTTCTCCCTATTGCACTGCCCCAGCATTGTGTTTCTTTTGCCCTCTTTTCTTTTTTTTTTTTTTTAATTAAATGTTTTTTTTTTGCATTGAGTGAAAGTTTATAGGGCACATCATCAGCTTCACATTCAACCATTCATATAGCTTGTTTCATTACATTGATTATTATCCCCGCCAAATATCATCAGTTTACAGTGTTTCTCTCTATCCTCTTTAGCTTTTTTTTTTTTTTTTGGATGGGGTGGGACTTGGCTTATTGGAATTTACAGTCTCGGCTTTTAGGGGAGGTTTTTACATTTGTCTGTGGATATCCAGGGCTTTCCCCTCTTTTCTATCTGAATTAAGTTGTCGACCCCCATTAAAGTCTGGGTGTGCTTTTTTATTTGACCGCTAGATTGGGGCGGGAGCAGCAAATTCCACTTCAGACTCAGTCCTTTTTTCAACCTTCATCTTGCCGTTAGCAGCAGTAGGTTAATTATGACTTTTAAGTAGATCTGTATCCTAGCTACCAGGGACAGACAGTAAGGATTTTAAAGAGACACTTTAGGCCAGTCGCCAAAGGTCACCACTCTGTATTTTGTGTGGGATTGAATGGCAGGAAAAAGAACACAGTTTAGCACTGGGATGTTAAGGAAGTCATAAGTAGAAGTTCCATATAAGGGCACTGTGCTTGTTACAGAACTCAAACCTCCTGTGACATCTGTCCACAGTGTGACATGGTAGCAGCAGTCTAGGACAACTCTTAAAGAAAACAAAAAAAAAGATAATTCATGGGGAAGGACAAAAACTAACCTTTCTTGTGCCACGCACACTGTTGTATATCCAGTTATCCTCACAACTGCCCAGCAAAGTAGGAGTTATTATTCTCATTCACAGATAAAAATAGGAATTACACAGTTTGAATCCAGATCTGTGTGATTCTCAAACCCATCATCTTTCCTTTTATACGATCACTTCAAATTGCACCAAAGAAACGATGTAAATTACTGGGGCCTAATTTTTTTTTTTTTAAACGTTGGTAAAAAATATTTAATATAGCCTAGACTTCCAGAAGAATGAACAACTCTGTCTTGGAAGAAGATGCTTATTAGAAGAAAGAATGGAGAAACTCTCTCTCTCATACTTTGGACATGTTATCCGGACAGAGCATTCCGTAGAGAAAGATACCTTTCTTCGCAAAGCATGGGTCAGCAAAAACAAGGAAGACTCAGAAAGATGAATTGATACAGTGGCTACAACAACGGGTTCAGACAAAGCACCAATTGTGAGGACAGTGCAGGACTGGGAAATGTTTTCTTTTGTTGTACATAGGGTTACTAAGTAAGAATCGGCTTGATAGCACCTAACAACAATATTCAGAATACAAATCTCGTATATGTTTGGATAGACATATACCTAGATATTTCATTTTCTATGAAGAAATTTGAGATAGTACTGTTTTTTTTTTTTTTGTTTTTTTTTCACAGTTATGAGATTTATTAGGGAAGTTAACAGGTTACACTGCAGGATCAGAAAATGTTCAGAGCACAGTTATTGCAGTCAGGACAGTTTCTCCTCAGCCATGCCCACAGACAAGCCTCTCTTTTAGGGCTACTGATAAATTATAAGCCTTGCCTGAAGTCACTTAGCTCTAACTCTGTTGGTCAGCACACCTAGCTCCCCCAATTAAGTGCTTGAAGGCACTCTACAAGCAAGCCTCCTGCAAAACATCACAAAATGTTACTTGCTCCATGGACTAGGAAGTCAACCATTCTGTTTCATGCTCTGGCTCTTGGTTTTGTCATTTTCTGCACCTCTGCCACTCCTCTAGTGTCACAACTTTCTGTCCCTGGGTCAAGGAGGCTCAGTGCCCAGGAATCTTGGGGTCCAAAAGATGCACTCCACTCCTGGCTTATCTTCTTTGATGGTAGTGAGATTCCCCTCTCCTGCTTCTGAGATGGCTTATTTTGGACCCATGTTAGAGTTCCAAGTTTTTTTGTTTTTTTTAAGGTTTTTATTGTGGATTGAGTGAAAGTTTACAGGGCACATCATCAGTTTCACATTCAACCATTCATATGACTTGTTTCATTACATTGATTATAATCCCCTCCATATACCATGAGTTGAAAGTATTTTTCTCTATCCACTTTAGCTTTTTTTTTTTTTTTTTTTGGGGGGGGGAGTACTATGTTTTTTAAGACTATATTTTTAGTGACATTTAGATTTGCAGTAATAAGTTGTGTAGAAAGAACAGAGTCCTGGGACCTAATCTTGGTGTGGACTTCTAGTATGGCACTACAGGATCAGTACTGGACTGCGAACCACAGGTTGAGGTTCAAACCTACCAGTTGCTCCTCAGAAATCTCATGCAGGGTTGCTATGAGTCGGAACAGATTAAACGGCACTTAACAACAACATTGTATATGGTGGATGGTATAATGGGTTAAGCACTGCGCACGTGATTAGGATGGAAGATGAGAGGTGTGGGAAGAGTGTTTTATCACTTTCTATGCTCTTGATATACTTTTAGACTGTTTTAATAGAAATGGGGTGTGTGTGTGTAGGGGAGAGGTCCTGCTTCTTCCTTATACCCAGGAGAGATCTGTGGTCCTTTGAGGAATAAGAATCTGGCTTTTTACTATGGTTTAGAACTTGGTTCTATACTCCGGTTTCAATTATGTTGTGTGTTCTGGAACACTTTTTCACAGAATTTTTAACCTGCTCTGATTCTGACCACAGATGCCTCCAGCTGAAGGTTTCTATGGATTGAGCTGTAGCTCTAGGGGTCAAGGTGCCAAGAGCCCAGGGCACAATGCAAGATATAACACAATTCCAGGAAAGTACAGCTCTCAGGCTTAAACATTTCAAGGTCTTATTTTTTACTTCTACCATCTATGAAATACATTGGGGATAACTGTTAGATCTATGATTGCTTTGTGTGCTGCCTTCAGATCTTCTTTCCATTCACAACTTGAAAGGTCAGTTAAAGATGGAATAAAGCCAGTTTTTAAGAGCTAGAAAGTCTGGATTTAATTGTTTCACTACCATGTCTTAGCTGAATAACCTTGGACAACCTAAATGAAATATCTGAGCCATAGACTTTCATCTCTAAACAAGGGTACAAGTAATACCTTAGCTATTCTGAAAGCATATACAACAAAATTAGATAATCTTTTGAAATACTGTGTAGGTCTAAAACAGGTCTACAAATTCTAAAACTGTAGTTAGTGTAGCCAGACTCAGTCATAACCCTCGGTGAGGGTGGGACCTTCTGACTAGTAACCAGGTGGAGCTACTTTCTGAGGACAGAGCTAGAGAGATATAAGAGAAATCCCTAAAAACTTACCGAAAATGCTCTTCACTCCCTGTTCTTCCACAAGATAGTCCACATACCGACCAATTACTGAAAAGTTGATTTCTCTAAAAGACAAAGGCAAATGGAAAGAATACAGATTTAAAGTCTGAAATTAGTCAACTGATCCTCATTATCTGTTGTTAACTTGACTATACGAGGTGGTTTTAAAAAGTTAGTGGATAAATGGAATTAAATGATAATGGAATTTTTCTGTGAATTTTTTGAAGCCCCCCCCCCTTGTACTAGGCCCAGAACAAAGTCACTTGTGCTGAGCTATGTTTCTATTTTCTGTAAATTCCTACCTTTGCCAGGAGCTAAATTCAGGTCAGTTAATGACTCTCCAGAAACAGAAACCTAATCAAGCCAGTCAGAACTTACCTGCTCAGTTTAACCAAGTTCAAAAGTTCCCCTTGATCCCAAATAAGGGAATAAAATGTCCACCAGTATATTTGCTCAGTATAGCTTACTTGTAGTGTGTCTGTGCTTACAGAACCCTGATTTTTACTCTGCTTGGGAACTCCTGTCTGACTTCTAAACCAAGCTGCTCCTTGGATCATAAACTGAAAAAGTTTGAATTCATATACAAATTTAATACCATGAAATTTTTATTTTTAACTTTAGAAATGCTGAATTTGAGGTCCCACACAGATCGAAGCAGTCACAATCTGCATTTTAACAAGATCCTCATGTGATTTACAACTTGAGAATCACTGACCTTGTAAGGATTTGATGCATGAGGGCAATTAAGAACCCTTTTTCGTAAAATCACATTGATTTTTAAATATAGAAACTGATGTGTATGCAAATACCATAAAGTGACCTGTTTTGAAGTAAAATGTTGTGGTGGTAGTGTGGGGCAGGGAACGGACAGATTGGGGGTGGAGAATGGGAACCCAGAGGTAAACTGTGCATCAAGTCTGGATTACATGTTGACAAGAACACATAGTACCAGTTAGCTGCCTCTTGTACTTCTGTCAGTGGAGCCAAAGAATCTTAATTTAATTTTAGCCTTATTAACATTCTCTTCATCTTTAGTTAAGGTGTTCCTTAAGAAAGAAATGGAGAACAAAGTATTGGGAGCATCTCGGAACATACACGGAAGGGAAGGAATAGGAATGTTCAACAATAGAATCGAAAACAGTTGATTGTGATGACAGTGTTAGAGGCTGAAAGTAAATGTATAGGCAATCACTATGTGCGGTATGCAAGGAGAAGTCAGGCAGCCATTTGGAAAAAGGTATAGTGCATTGAAGTTATGAGGCACCTTGGAAGAAAGGCCTGGTGGTTTATTTCCAAAACATGAGCCATTCAAGAGTCTGCAGAGCACACTTTTACTCTGATACATATGGGTTGCCAGGAGTCAGAAGTGACTGGATGGTACTGTAGATCAACATGATTGAAACTTACTTAAAATAAAAGTAACAGAGGTTTATTGAGTGTTACAGACTGTCCAGACTCGGAAGAAGTTCAAATTCACAGAGTGAAAATGGCCACCCAGTCAGACAAACAGGAAGAACACATATTGCATTGTTAGATCAGTAACTGGAGTCCTAGTGGGATGCTGTAGAGTAAGCACTGGACTACTAACTCGAAGGTTAACTGTTCAAACCCACAAGCTGCTCCTTGGAAACCCAACACAGGGTTGCTTTGAGTTGAAACTAACTCCACGGCACTTAACAACAAAAACAGAGCAGAAACTAAAGCCTATGAAATCATAACTGCTTGAAAGGCAATCAGGACAGTCAAAGGTGAGATATTTAAAAGTGGGGACTTGGCAGGGGTAAGAGGATGACACACATATATGTGGGGTTACATGATTGGCTAAGGGCATATAATTGCAAGCATGCATGCTCTTCAGCTTATTACAGAATGGTCACGGGACAACGGCAGTACAGGTTTCTCAGGTGACCTGCTATAAAAATGAGTTTCACAATCATGTCTGTTTCTGGGGATCCACTGTAAAGACTTATTGAAGCAGTGCACAAAGACCCTTTGGGTATAGATTGTTTGACCATAGTGGAAATCCTCTTTGGGAATAGACTGTCAGAGCCTGCACTTGCCAGACTTCAAGAAAAAAAGTGTCTCTAACTTTATATATACTGGTTAGGTCAGCATCAAAGTAGAGGAATTGCTATTAGAAAAGGCAACTTTTAAAATTCATCATGGATTCTAAACTCACATCAAGGCTTTAAATGGAATTAAGTCTCCACTGTCAGACTGCTCTATCTATATCCACCAAGTATCTCTGACTTTACATTCTCATTCAAGTGTATCGGCAACACCACCACTCCCTCCTCCACCACCACCATCAACAGTAATGCAGTTATCAGGCCTCCAAAATGTTGTGGGTGAAGTTACTAAAAACAAAATCTACTCTCAATGCAACAAATCTGTGTTGGAAGAAGTGCAACTAGAATGCTCCTTAGAAGACACGATAGCCAGACTTTATCTCTCAAACTTTGGGCATATTATCAGAAGGGGCTGTCCCTGAAGAAGGACATTATGCTTGGTAAAGTGGAGGGTCAGCAAAAAAGAAGACTCCCAGTGAGATGGATTTGTACAGTGGCAGCAGTAATGGCCTCAAGTGTAGCAACGATTGTGAGGTGAGGTTGGCGCAGGACCAGGCGCCAACCTGTTGTTGTGTATAAAGTTGCTATGAATCGGAGCTGAATTGACGGTACCTAGCAATAACTATCAATCCAGAAAACCTCTCCATAAAAATAGAAGAGAAAGAATTTTTATAGTGAATAAACATTAAACCAGAATATGATGCATTACAGGCAAACTGCAAAAGAAATTGTAAAGAACAGCTAAGAGGATACAACCCATTATACTCATGTTTTTAAGATATTAATTTTTTAAAGTTCACTCTATTCACTTTATTTGCTCAGAGGATTAAGGGTGATAGGGCATATAACATCTTATAGGAACCTGCAAACGTCTGCATGATTTTTAGAGAGTATTCGAAGCAAAGCGTCTTTTCCTGTCATATTTAGTAGTTCTGGTATGTAGCAGTGTGCGTCTATAAAGATTTACAGCCGTGGAAACCCTATAGGGCAGTTCTACTCTGTCTTACAGGGAGCTCTGAATCAGAATTGATTCAGTGGCAGTTGGTTTCGTTTGGTGGGCTTCCCACAAAGTGGAAAATATCAAGACAATTGTGATCACTGAGTATCAGCCTTTGAAGCAGGAGCCATGTAGACATCATATGTATCGTTGTTAAGTGCTGTTGATACAGTTCCAACTCATAGCGATCCTGTATAGGGTTTCTGAGAAGCAGCTGGTGGGTTTGAATTGCCCAACCACAACCTTGTGGTTTGCAGTCCAGTGCTTATCTTATACCACCACACCAGGAATAACTAGACAAAATCTCTAACTTTAGTAGGTATTGGTTTTATGAAATTTAACATGTTTTTGTAGAAGTGGTCAGAGAAGGATTCCTGCATTTACCTTGGCAGTACACTGTACATAGTTTTGTTGACAAGTGCATATCACTTTCATACATTTTGAACAATTTTATCTTTTTGGTTGGCATATAAGAGACTAGTGCCTTTCCTCTAGCTCATATGATTTTGTTGATGACAAAAACATTACTCAGGGATTGCGGTAGAACAGTTATTTGTTACATAATTTTCATATTCCTATAGTTTTTATTTTGGAGTCCTGGTGTGGTGCTGTGGGTTAATGTGCCAGACTGCAAAGCCGTTTGAACTGCAAGGTTGGAGGTTCAAGCTTACCAGCTGCTCCTCGGAAACTATGGGTCGGAACCGACTCGATGGCACTTAACAATAGGATTTATTTTAGATCCACTTTTTGATCCAATTGTCTGTTTCCCCCCGCCCCCCCCATGAAGCATACTTTTAGAAACAAATAAAAGTTTCTTGTACTCAGAAGGGCTTTAAGTATGGGGTCTGCTATGGTTAGCAGCTGTATCAGAAGAACCGTTGCCCTCAGAAAGGCAGTCATTCTGCATGTGTGCTCAATGATTTACCAATATACGAACAGGAAGTTATAAAGTCTCTACGATATTGTTTAGGAGATTTTGGTTTCCACTGAAGTCAAGAATCTCTGTTTTCTAAGTTGTCATATTGCATGACAGACACCAAATACATAAAGATGATCAGTACAAATATTCACTTTAAGTCAAGAACTAAAAATTACAACTCTGGTAACTGCTATTAATTCAGTGGCCTATACTACTCTGGTAGCATAGTGGTTACGAATCAGGCTGCTATCCTCAAGGTCAGCAGTTCGAAACTACCAGCGGCTCGACAGGAGAAAGATGAGGCTTTCTGCTTCTGTAAATAAAGATCTGCAGCCTTGGAAACCCTGTGCAGGGTCACTATGAGTCGGAGCCGACACCACGGTACTTAAGAACAACAACAACATTATTACTTCCAGACAAAACATAAGCTTCCAGAATTCTATGAGAAGTCACTACCGAAGTCTTAAGCAAACTGACTTTATTGTGTGCATGTGACTCATCAGTAAACATGATCAAAGGAGCATTCTGAATAGGAACATCAGAAAAATTAGGTCCGGGCCTGGTGTCTTCTTTTATTATCAGTGTGTAATCATTATCATCCATTTGGTCAGGATCTGGTAAGAGAGGAGCAGAATTTAAAAGACTGTAGCTCCTCAGCACAACATTTTGATTTGGTAACAATGTTTGTTCATAATTAGTGTGATGAGCACTAAAAAATGCTGGATTTCATGTATCCGTAAGATGGCAATCACTGCTTGTGGAACTTGCAAATAAGTCAAATGTCCCAAACTTAGAGCTTGGGCCTTTACAATAAGAATGGTGGTGTAGTAAGCTAGGCAATCCCATGGTCCCTATAAGTCAAAAATGACTGGGCAGTATGTAAAAACAACAAGGAGTATCTTTATATTTATGACAAAACAAGTGGAAAGGTTCCTCAAAACTTGAAATCTCCAATGTTGGGGGAGAGGTTATAGGCAATTTCAATCGTTTCAGGGCCATTTTAGATTCTAGGGACCAGACTAAAGTGTTTGGGGAATTATCACGTAATTTTTCTCTTAGTGTTTTTTCCTGCTCTGCAAA